CTCCCCCTCCCATTCCTCAGACGACATGTCCATCCTGGGCCTCTTGCAGTGCCACAACGATGCCACCCGAAGGTTGCAGGAACAGCAACTCATATTCCGCTTGGGAACCCTGCAGCCCAATGGTATCAATGTGGATTTCAAAAGTTTCAAAATCTCCCCTCCCCCTACCGCATCCCAAAACCAGTCCAGCTAGTCCCTGCCTCCCTAACCTGTTCTTCCTCCCACCTATCCCCTCCTCCCACCTCAAGCCGCACCTCCATCTCCTACCGACCAACCTCATCCCGCCCCCTTGACCTGTCCGTCCTCCCTGGACTGACCTATCCCCTCCCTAACTCCCCACCTACACTCACCTTTCCTGGCTCCATCCCCGCCTCTTCGACCTGTTTGTTTCCTCTCCACCTATCCTCTCCTCTATCCCTCTTCTATCCGCCTCCCACTCTCTCCCTATTTATTTCAGAACCCCCTTCCCCTCCCCCTTTTCTGATGAAGGGTCTAGGCCCGAAACGTCAGCCTCTCTGCTCCTATGATGCTGCTTGGCCTGCTGTGTTCATCCAGCCCTGCACCTTGTTGTCTCGGATTCTCCAGCATCTGCAGTTTTTTTTTGTCTCTAATTTGTGTATCAATGTGGTGAGGTTCCAACTTTGTGTTTCAGTGAGTGACTTGTAGGCTGTGATTCATGATTTAGCCCCTGTTGTTTATGACTTTTTTTCCCATTAGATACCTCTGGCCCCTATGACTCTTCACACTCCCCAAAGAACAAGGAACAGTAGAACACAGAAACAGGCCCTTCAGCTGACCAAGACTGTGTTGACGCATGACGCCTTGCTAAACTGAGAGCTTTTTATCTCTACGCTGCCCATATCACTTTATTCCCTGCATATTTATTTATCTGCCAAGATGCCTCTAACATGTTTCTATTGCATCTGCTTCTACCACCTTCTCTGGCAGCACATTCCAGGCACTTATCACCATCTGTGCAAAAAGCCTATCTGTCAAATCTCCTATAAACTGTCCCCCCTTTATCTTAAACCTATGTCCCCTAGTTATTAGCTTTTCCACCCTGGGAAAAAGACTCTGACTGTCCATTCTATCGATGCCCCTCATAATTTTGCAAACGTCTGTCAGGTCACCCCTCAGCCTCTGGCGTTCAAGTGAAAACAAATCAAGTTTGTCCGATCTCTCCTCTTAACTAATACCCTCCAAACCAGGCAACATCCTAGTAAATCATTTCTGTACTCTGTCCAAAGTCTCTACATCCTTCAGGTAGTGTGGCGACCAGAACTACACACAATATTCCAGCAATTGAGACTCTTTACATAATAACTAGTGTGTCCATTTTAGCCCCAGAGCCCACAGCCTTCAAGGCCCCAATGCCTTTGCTTATTCTGCAACCCTCCATATATTGAGGCCAGAATGACAATGACTTGCCTGAACCTTCCACTCAAGACTCTGCAGTCCCATCTGGTACAGTTCCAGCTCCCACAATACTATCTCCAATTGTCACATTGCTGTGACCATTAGCTCCACAACTAAATATGGTGAGGAAAATCCTCTGTCCTGAGCTGCCTGCAGCCCTAATGATCCATGGTCGGAGACCCAAAAAGCTGCTATTCTACCCCACTCGCCTATTTCACCTCACCCCTGAGTGACCAACTTTCAAGTTTTGGATTGCTTTTACTTGACTGCGCAGACTAGTCTTGGCTTAGTCCCTGGATTGCAACAGAATGCATCCCAGGATACGCATAGAACCAATGACCTGAGTGACCATGGACTGTGCATGGCTTATCCATTCCATTGATTGTGGTGGTGCCCCCTGATTGAATGGAGTCCAGTCTAGCCCCACTAAATGCTCCTTCCCTTTGACCTTCACACATTGCCATTCTCTTCAACACATGCAGTGTGTATGCCACATAAGCTGCTGGCAGATGCAGCATCACTGACATTGATACAGCACTATTCTGTACAGTGACATATTCATCTCCCTGCACTTTCACATGCACTGTTTCCTGCTTCTTAATGCCACATGCTTCTCCTGCTGTGCTAAATAACTAGCTATAAGCCACAAACTAACTGGTTCATCTTCTGCACTGAAGCACAAATTCTAAGTTAACAAGTACTGGCTGACCTCACCTGCAAGTGCTGTGTCTAAGCCAACAAGAGCTGCCCAAGCCTACCTGACTCCAAGCAACCAGATATCTTGGGAATGATGCCCAGATTTGTGAATTCAGGGAGGCCATTTTCATTGACTGTGCAGCCACCAGTTACATTCATCAATGGGATGTGGGCACTGCTGGGTAGGCCAGCATTTATTACTCTTCCATAATTATGCTGGAGAAGTTGACTTGAACTGTTTCAGTCTTTGAGTGAAGGGATATCCATTGTGCTGTTAGGAAGGGAGTTCCAGGATTTTGACCTAATGGAAATGAAGCAACAGTTTTATGGCTCCAAGTTAGGATGGCATGTGGTTTGGAGGAGAACTTGCAAGTGGTGCTGTTTCCATGTATCTGCTACCCTTGTCCCTCTAGGTGGTAGATAGTGTGGGTTTTGAAGGTGTTGTCAAAGGAGTCTTAATGAGTAACTGTAGTACATCTTGCAGATGGTACACAGTTGTGAAGGGAGAGAATGCATTAGAAGATGAATGGGATGCCAATCAAACAGGCTGCTTTAGTCTTGCATAGTGTTGAGCTTGAGTGTTGTTGGAACAGCACCCACCGAGGCATGTGGAGAGTATTCCATCATACTCCTGACTTGCAGATGGTGGAAAGGCTTTAAGGAGTTACTCACCATGGGATTCCCAGCTTCTGACCTGCTCTTGTAGCCACAGTATTTTTACAGACTGTCCAGTCAGTTTCTTTTCAATGGTAATTACCAAGATAATGATAACAGGGGATTCAGTGATGGTAATGGAATAATAAATGATCATATTCTCTCTTTTTGGAGAGGGTTAGTGCCTGCCACTTGCATGATACAAAAGTTAATTGCCACTTATCATCCTAAATCTTGATATTGTCTAAGTCCTGTTGCATTTGGACATGGATTGAAAGTTGGGGGAAAATGTAAATACTGACATAGGATAGAGAGACATGGAGAAGACTATAAGCCAAGGACCTGCTTTTGGACACAGCACACATCAGCTGACATGAAAATGTTGGTTTATTTTTATATGTGAACCATGTATAAGGATTATTCTTTTATTTGCTGTATGGCATGCAGCCTTTCCAGTTGCATGATGATGATTTGGATAGCATGAATTGACACAGAATAATGGCGAAGCTGTGAAAGTCAGGCTTGGCTGTTTGTGGGGCTGCTTTATGTAAATTAATTGACAGAATTTAAAGACACAAAAGTGTCTTTTCCATGTGGTTGTTGGATTTACACTTAGGTAGAACCAAAGTGAATCATTCAATAATGAGGGTATCCCATGCAGTAAGGTCTTCTTATTCCTCCTTATAGTCATCCAAGGAGATTCTGTTCTATACCTTTATCTTTCTGCAGTACCAAATCTTGCTGCTGCACAATTTTCTGCAAAGTGTAGCACACCAGGACCGTCCTGGAGATCCGAGTTGGACTCCAAAGTCTGTCTCCAGCCTTGTCCAGGCACTTAAAATGGATCTTTGCCATTTGATGTTTTGTTTGATGGCGTAGCTGGTGATCATGTGACATTCACTGTATCACAATCAGACCTCCTTTCCTGAGCTTCCAGGAGGCATCGTCAGCCATTTAGTAAGTGGGTGTTCCTTGTCTCTGAATGCCTAACTAGTAAATTTGATTATAGGTGCAAAGACATTTGGGAAAATGGGCTTTTATACGATGAGAGCATCCTGTGAAATTGCCCAGGATTCTTCTAGATATCTGTACAAGGATTTGTAGTTGTACAAGGATCTACAATATAACAATGGCATGGAAAGATATGCAGGTTAATGATGAATCTTGGGTGATCTATGGTGCCCTATATGCCACATGTGTGCGGTCAATGGTACTCTGCATCTATAGGCAATTAGCCAGAACTACAACCTCAAACTCCAAAAGTTGACACAATTGCCAGGCTCAACAAAGAAGAAATCTGCTATCTGTCTTGCGTGCATGGGTGCTTTTGCCTGAAAGATCCTGCAAATATCATTGGATACCTTTTTGTGTTCCCTACAAGAGGCAATAAAGCTAAAGCATTGCCTCTTGTCCAATTGGCATCAGGTCTTCATTCAAAGCATGCCATTGATTGCCACAGCCTGAAATGCATCCAAAGCCTCCTGAGACAGTGGTACAGGTTGCCCCTGGGTTGCAAATGGGTTCCATTCTGAAATCCACTCGCAAATCGATCTGCACACAATGCAGGACAATGTAAAGCAGCAGTTTGTAAGTATAGGAAATGTTAATATGTCGAGTCTTTAAAATGACACCCCTGTATGGTTCTTTCTTCATTCTTAAGGATGAGCATTTGTAAGTCAGACTCCCTATATTCCAAAACACTGAGGTAACTTTTTTTGGTTCCAATGACCTACAACTTTAAACTGATCCCAATGCAAGAATATGGAAAATGTAATATATTAGAATAAGTAGAGAATTAGTTAGAATACAGAGAGTAAGGACCAACAAGATACTTCCCTGTTGACAAGCTGCAATTAGTGGAGTGCAGCAAGATTCCATGCTCTGTCATCAGCTATCTGCAATCTATATTGATGACTTCAGTGGAGACGTCAAGAGCAATGTACCTACATTGGCTAATGTTAAAAAGCTGGGTGGGAATGTAAGCTGTGTAGAGGACACAAAGATGCTTCAAGGAGAGTCAGACAGGATGAGTGAGTGGGCAACAAAGTGACAGAGAGAGTATATTGAAGAGAAGCGTTATTCACATTGGTAGTAAGAATATAAAAAAAGAATATTTTTAGAAGGTTTGAAATGTGTAAAGTTGATATTCAGAAGGACCTGGGTGTACTCGTACAAACAATATACTCTAAATGTTAATAATCTGAGGGACTGGTGTGTACTCATACAACGAACACAAAAAGTTAGCATGTGGTTGCAGCAACCAATAAGAATCAAACTGCATAATGGCATGATGCAAAAGGATTGGAATTCAGGGATAAATCTTATTAAACCTGTACAAGGCTTTATTGATATCACACCGGGTGTACTTTGTGCCATTTTATCTCTGTATTTAAGGAAGAATATTCTTGTTTAGAATGAAAGGTTGTGCACTATTCCCCATTCTGTTTGGAGTCTTCTTCTCAAAGACAAAACAGGATCCTATCCTGACCTGAGATCTCACCTACAGTGATGATACCACACTGGTCACCCACACAAAACAACTACAAAAACTTTAAAATGTCACTCTGTGTCACAATCTCATTGCCCTTGACTATAAGCATAAAAAAAACTGTGGTCATGGGTGAGGTGTCACATCTCTACCCCTGATCACACCAAACAACTCCCTACTAGAATTGGCTAGCAACTGTCTTACTTTTGATCCACAGTGACAGATAATCAGACACTTGATGTGTGCAAATGGGTTAAGCTTGAATATACTGTGATTTTCTATGGTTTCAGCCCTTTTCCTGGCTGTAATCTCAGTCATGGCTGCCTGCTATGATGACAACCAGTATCTCCTCCATCAGGGTAAGAACACCCAGTCCAATCTGTTCCAATTAGATGCTTCTCCCTGCAAGAGAGAGGGAAACATTTCAGTGTGTATGTTAAATTGTGTTTAGGTGATGTGATTGTCATGGTTAAACAATGGCAGTGTAGAGTGGCCCATTTGCGAGGTGTGAGTTTGAATCTTGCTGAAGTACACTATGTGAGAGGGTGAGGTAAACTACCCCACTCAGCAGGACCTCCGG